TAAGAGTTTTGACTAAGAGCAATAAAATTGGGAACTTTGAAGTAAATAAGTAAAAGAGCTTAAGGCTAGAACTCCTGTGGTGCAGAGATGGGGACTGAGTCCATAAATATTAGTAATGAGTGTTTACCTGTATTCGAGGGTGGTGCCATGTTGGGGTTCATAGGTCAACGGACAGACCTACGGACAAAGCGTAGGTGGATAGTGATGGTGAATTAGCCAATGAAATGCATTTTTATATCCGGGACCAAAACAAAATACCCTGTTTTAGTAAGAAAACAGTATTCCCGGTTTTGTTCTCGAACTATCACACTTCTTTGGATTTTTATTATTCTGGGAATCATTCTTTTGGACTTTTATTTATTTAATATTTGGAGTTCAGTCTTAAATTCTTATTATATTGGACGGATCCTTTGAACAGTTGTATAAAAAGTGTATTGGTCTATTCTGAACATATTTCAGATTAATTCTAAAAACTATACGATCACGAAGAAAATTATAAATTGGATTTCTTTAATAAACTTTTGAAAACGCAGACAAGTTTTCATCATTGGCTTACATGCCACAGAGCAACTTCATCTGAGAAAACGAAACGAAAAACCCCTAGAAATATAGGGTTTTAATATACAATTATGGACTCTTTTGGTGTTGAATATTATAGGGTTATTGAACTTATATTGGTGAATATTGGCACGAGTTGGCTGTTAAAATGCACGAGCTTGCGAGTGCATTTGAACAGCCAACAAGTGCCAATATTCACCAATATAAGTTTAATAACTCCTTTATTATATAGCTAAAACATTTCCACATAATTTATAATAATTATTACAACAAAAAAACATCAAATTAATGATTTTTTAGTATCGGTATTCAAATTACCGTCTGTCCTGTTAGCGTTCAATATATCGCATCATTCCGATGACCCTACCGAGCGATATGATTTGCTTATTTAGGCTTTAATGGGTCTAATAGTACTATATTTTAATAAATAATTTCATTTTTGTGTAAAAAAGACACATCTTACCTAGATGCCACTTCCTTTCTTTAATTTAGCTCTGAACATTGGACCAGACGACTTTTTTGTTTACAACAGGGCGTTCGATATTGAACGCTCGTATTCGGAATGTTTCGGGCATACTCATATTCGTAATACAAAGTTAGCGTTCAATAAAACGTCAAGATATTGAACGTTAAAATTCTCTAGATTTTTGGTAGTATTTTATTTTAGACTATTTATTAGCTATATAATAAGGTTTGTTATTCACCAGAAAAATAATCATATTGACCTCGGCTTCGCCTCGGTCAATATGAATATTTTTTTGGTGAATAACAAACCATATTCAACACCAAAAGAGTCCATAATTGTTTTACTATATAGTCGGGATTTGAATAAAAAAGACATTGAAGGCTGTATGACGACACCATTTTCATTTGCGATCTTCCATTATTGAAAATAAAATAAAATCTCCAGATTACTGTTTGTAACCTCCGTGTTTTCCATTGCGAGTTTCGCTATGTGTAAGAGGTCCAAATGTTAAAAAATGATCCTGAAATGGGTTTGAATACTTGTTTTCCTGCTCAAATAGTTAGCTCTCTGCGGCCGTTGCAACCATTGTTTACAACGTTGCTTGATGTTTTGATTGTGACGTCACAATGCCGTTGCACGCGCATTGACCCTCCGGTGAATACGGCTTAAAATCCGGTGAATATGTATTGTTATGAACTGTTCGCGTTTGTATAGATTATATAGGGAATAAAGATAGACTATATAATAAATATAATTATTATTTTATGCATGTATGTGCATATACAAGTACGTTGTGTACATATTTATTGTTTAATCCTTTCATGATTGTATTTAAGAAATTTGATATTTATATCTATAATCGTTTTGATAAATTAAGGAATCTGATTCTGTTAATTGGAATATTTTCTCCAAAAATTAGAAGCTTTGATATTTGTCTTCTTTGCATTTGACCTTGCAGATTGCCCCGGGTGTTAGAGAACCGTATCACTTCAAATCTAACTTCAAATAACTTTATGTTGTTATGTAAAAGAGTATTCATTTTGTAACCAGCTTTTGGATCACCCTTTATTGTATCGTTACATGTATTACTCAATTATTGTCATTCTCAATAAATGTACATTCACAAACAAATTCTGTGTCCTGATATTTAATATAGGAAGATAACTGAAGGTATATTTTAATCTTTATATTACTTGAACAGCATGCATTACATGAACATTTGAAAGTTTCAAGTAAGCAAATCAGTATATGTATACAAGAACATTAAATAGATTGAGCGATAAGAAAATACTTACCTGTTAGGACATGAGACTTCAGCAAGATAGCATTGTTGTTCAGTATTGATGCTTTGACAAGCAGGATCTAAAACCATAAATAAGGAAATAAAATGTCAATGAATATATCGATAAATAAATTATTTTTGAGAATGCGTTTAGGGTGCAATTTGATACTTTGTCCCTTAATGAAATTGCATTTTTTAATCAATGATCTTACACTGGTATATTGTGTTGCTTTGATAATCTTCGACAGGACAACCTGATGAAAATCCAAGACAATCGACGTAATAAAGCTTTTCTCCGTCAGTTTCCAAACAGTTGCCTTAATAATGAGATGACAGGTAATATAACTATGTATGTAAAATAAAAAAAAAACAGGAATAAAAACTATATAGAATTTTTAAATACACAGAAGAGCAAAGAGAAGGCTTTTGTCAACATTTCAATCAGATAAAACATAATAGTAAAGAGTCTTTCAACAAAATTTCACACAAACTTTTAACTTGTTAACACGAACATGATATTTGGAACCATTTTCTAATTAATGACAGATTAGATAAGACAGATATGACAAGATCATGCTTCGATTACTATAGTATATAAGAATACAAGTCGAACTATATGACTGTTCAACTGGACAAAAAAGGAACTCTGAAAACAAAGGACTGCAGCACATTGATTTAGTGTTTAACACTTAAACAAACAAATCAAAGAAGAATAAAAAAAAAATAATTATCCAAAACTATCGTTCTAAAGTTAAAATAGCACAGAATATATATGATTAATGAAATGTAAAAGGTATTTTTCCCAATGAAAATTCTTTGCAGAAATTAAATAAAACAAGAAAAGTTTATGTCCTGAAAAAAAACATTTAATGAATTCTTAGCAAAAATTGAACAAAACAAAAAAAAAAATTATGTTTTGAAAAAAAAGTGAATGAGATCTCACGGAAAAATACATGGGTTAGGATCTCAAGAAAAATAAAATTCTAGGGTGCAAATGAAAATTGAAGATAAGGAGGTCCAAACTCTCGAGGAAAAAAGAAAAATATATAAATGAGCTTGACAAGATTTAAGGATGCTGAGCTGGTAGAGTCTAGAGAGAAACCTTACCAAAACATGATTATGTTTATACCGTGTGAAAAAAACCCAACAAATTCTCAGAACTATCATGTTTCACATTTTATCATCTACTGATTGGTGTTAATAGCATTTTCTTTTTAAGTAATTAAATAGATTAGACGGTAAGCATACATGTAGCTTCTATTTCCTTACTATTTTAGATTTTCTTTCTTTCTTTCTTAATTAAAAACGAACTTTAAATATGAAATATCTCACTGTAAGAAACATTTTTACATGGAACTACTTAAAATCCATTGACAAAAAATATTATTAATGTTTCGTAAAATATGTTTTATGTTTGTAAAATACAACAAAGATACTTATTAATACTTTTTTTTTCTTTTCGGAGAAATTCTCTTAATTAGCCCTTCAGGTTTTATTGAAAGCAATCTGACGATATACAGAGTTTCCGAATACATTTTTATAATATCAGTCTAAAATGTTTTAGCGACATGTTATATGTACTATGATAATCTGACCTTTACGAAGATTCTTTATACACGCTTTTTAACACTTTGAACATTGGGAAATTTACCTCTTTGTATCAATTCCATGACACCATTATAACATAGTTCTAATAACCCTGTTTTGTTTCTGTTAGAAACACAGATGTACTGATCGTTCCCATACTTGTCTTTACCACAGCCCATCCTGGCGGAGGATTCCAAGACCTCTGTAGCGTTTTGAGGACATGAATGAACAAAGTTTTCCATTTCTACAAGGAAACACAATTTTTAAAACAAAATACATATAATCATATAACTAAATGTTGCATTATTCTCTGCTAAAAAGATATCTCTGAACAACACTTTGATCGTTATGAAGTTGCTCCCTGTATGTTCAATTTAAGGTAGGATTCTTCTCTGGTTTCTGACTAGATGAAACACTCAAAGTATATTTGCATATATGTCTTATATATTGAGATGTAAGGAATTTAAAAGACCATATTTTTCTTTCCTCATCAGAATTGTACAACTTTATATAGAAATGGTAAACTGGGTTTGAAAACTAGTAGGGACTATATTTTGGCGGAATGGTGGCGTATGAAAATATCTTCTTTTCTGCCTCTCAAAATAATAATAGAACAATGAATTTAGTTATAATTTTTACACAATCGAAGACTTGGAGAAATTTTCAAATGTAAGTTAAATTAATAATGAGGGACTAAACTCTCAAAATATATCAAATAAATATTATTTTTCAAACAAACTAGAACTTTGTGAGCTTTTAAACACTTCCTATCAAGGTGCAGATTTGAGCTAAAAATCCATAAAAAGTATCTTTTCTCTCTTAGTAAACGATCAAAACTTTTTGTTTTTGTATCATTTTGTACATTTATAAGACTACTTTATGATATGTGAAAATAAGAAAAAGTTAAATATAAGAAGCATATGAAAATAACTTATATATCCTAAAAAATTAAGAATAACAGAGAAAATTCGGACTAGCCAATATCCAGCTAAGTAAAATTATTTATGTAAATTTGCTAATATCATGCTATAGACCCTATATAGTAATATGTTTTTATGCAAAAAGAACAATCATGAAACGTTTGAAATAGAAGTAGGTTTCACATAATTGGCAACAGTATTTTTTTTATTCTTAATGTCAAGGAAAAAGATAATGACCTTGTCCTGACCTTGCCTCTAATATAAAACGGTCAAATTTAATTTCACTGATACTATCACTTACTGATATTGTCTTCTTGATTCTGTGAAAATTTCATTAATTTTTAAACATTAGAAATATGAGAAGAATCCTACCTTAAGGTCGTACGTTTGCTGAGTTTTTTAATTATAATTGTCAAAATACATCACTTCTATTCAGACATAGAATCATTATGCATTCATGATCAGTAAAGAGGTTTCAAAGCTATCTATTGTGACTGTGTTTAACAGAGGATGCTAAATCCTTTATAATTAATTCTTTTATCACCATGGGAGTATCAAGAAATCTCTGTACCATGTCCCATGTTATATATATATAATTTTTTTTGGTTTTGTGAAGTTTTTAATATTTAATCTTTTGCATAAATTATCTAAAATTACAATAAAGAAAAATAATTTATGATATTATCCCTGAATGAAAAATTATTATTCCTGAAACATGCCTCTATAGTAATTGGGTGCCTTAATTGAAAATTAAGACACCTGTGTACAGAACAGAACGGGGTAAAACATATCCTGATGTACATGTGCAAATGTTAGGGATATGATAATAATAACTCATTGAGGCATATATCTTGTGTTATCAATGTTATAATTTTTAATTATGAATTTCTGATAATATTTCTGTATATTAACAACACAATATCTGTAATACGTGACACCATCAAAAGGGCAGGAATGGTTCTAGAAATTTTTGAATGATGTGCACTGCATGAAAAGTCGGGTTTAATTTTACCTTAAATGTGATTTAAATGCTGCGATTATTTAATGTTTAAATGCATATTATAAAATATTGTGGGATCGTAAATGTTAGAAAATAACTAGCATTTAATACGAGTTTAATGAAAAATTAAAAGAACAAATTTAATAAAGTTTGGAAAATTGTAAACTTACTAATACGTTTGGATTTTAGTCTGCCGTAAACAATTATTATACCTCTAATATACAAAACGTATAATTATTATTAAACATGGCCATTAAATTAAGTTTTACGGTCACATTAAATTTGTTCGTTTAATAAAATTTAACGTTGATCTTTACCTCATTATTTTTTGTTAAATTCACACTTTACTTTATAATACTTCCAAAAATAAAGTTATATACGGAGAATTGTAAACTTACTAATACGTGCAAATTTTATTCTTTCATAAACTAAAATTAAATCTCTTGTATATGTAATGAAAATGTACGTATTATATTTTCCCATATAATTAAGATTTAAGGTTGTATTTGATGAAATTTAACATTATTATAGTATTGCATGATATTTTTATTTTACATTTATTCCATCAACAATTTGTATGGCTTACAATTGTGGTTTTTTTTTGGCAAGTATTTTAAAATCTTACACAAATCCATTTCTCATTCAATTTTATTAGATGTTATCTCAATAGTGTACAAACAATGAGTTCTAACAAAGTACAAAATATTTCAAATTTAAGCCTAAAAGTCACAATTAAAAAAATTACAATCATGATTGTAGCTCAATTATAATGGAGTTAATTTTACATACTAGTAGTAAGTAATTTACTGAAGTAATTATAAATAATATAAGAATAGTATTGTATGTAAAATTCAAATCCGCAATAAATCAAAACACAACAGGTAAAAAATGTAGTCATTCTGGACTCCAAAAGACTGCAATATCTGACTGAAACTGCCCCTTTTAAAACTTTTGCATGGGTTGTAAATGGCTTTTCAATTTCCCACAATAAATTATATCATACTTTGAATAAAAAGAATAAATGTTGCCAATAAAAGCTGTCCATTCTTTTTATATGTACATTTTAATAAGACACACTAAGCCACTAACAGAGAAGCCTCACTCGCCCACAAGCAACAGCAAAAGGATCGGTCAGAGACACCACCTTTCTCTTGCTTGGGTATCAAGATCTGCAACTTACAGCCAGCAAAGCTCTTTTAGACCACCCTTATATTGTTTCCCAAGTATTTCAACAATAGATGTCCATGCACTAATTATCCAAGTTTAATTTGAAAAATACTTGTTGTTGACTGTGAAAAATACAAGACCCAAAAAAAATCCTTTATATCATTTGGTTATGTCAATTCAAATTAAGGAAAAGTATCCCATAGGCCAATTACACAAAACAATAGCAGCATAAATTTGTTTACAATTCATGTAGCTCATTTCTGTTCCAACTGCTAGGTTTATTGCTTGATGATTGTAATATAACATATCCTCATTAAATCAACATTACATTGGAAAGCAAAACATTTCAATAGTGATATTTTCAACTTTGCTTTAAAATATCAAAAATGAGCTCTAAAACATGCACATATAAAAGTCCTGTATAAACATATGTAAAAGTATATTTAACAATTTTTTAAGCCTTGATTACAATTCCATAACTCATAATCTCTCTTACTTCAAATGGAAGGAAACAAATTAATATTTTACTCTTGCAATTCTCATTTATTTACTCTTGCAATATCAATTGTAATATTTAGTAAAATCACAATTTACCCTTTTTTTTACTTAGAAATGTCTCTATCTCATTTGCCTATTCTATTTTGTACATCTATGACTCACTAAGCCACTGACAGAGAAGCCTCACTCGCCCACAAGCAACAGCAAAAGGATCGGTCAGAGACGCCACCTTTCTCTTACTTGGGTATCAAGATCTGCAACTTACTGCCAGCAAAGCTCTTTCAGACTACCCTTGATCATGATTGTCTTATTTTTTCCACAATAATATCCATGCACTTATTATTTAAGTTAGACTTGTACATATATGTGATATATAAATCAAGATTAAAATGTATGTGATTGCATACTAATAAATGTTTAAACAATAAAAAACATAACAGTTTTAATCTGTATTCAAGCATAAGAAAAAACTTTCACTGTCAAAAATACAACACTAGGTATATTTTTCTTATCTAAAATTGAATTTGTGCAAAGCAATAACAACTCAGATATTTCATCTCTAATAGCCCATCTCTGTTCAATTAATACATCCATAGGTTTGACTCTTTTAGATTTTTTATTTGTCCTAGTTCTTCTATGCTCTGCCTTTTAGAGTGCTTTGATTTGAGAATGGCACTTTTGGTGTCCAATTCTTTGAAGACATTCTCACATTCACCAGAACGCAACTTCAGCTTTCTAATTTCATAGATAGTATTATCTTTAGAATCATTTCTTGTACTATGAAGATGTAACCAATATTCAAAACTGTTTTTTCTTGCTTCTTCTTCTCTTTATTCCAAGAAGTTTTCAGCTCTGGAGAAGCACACCTAGCTCCTAATTTCTACAATAAACATAAAAATAAATACCCATTTCCCTATACACTGTATATACATATTATATGTGTGCTTCCAGATTTATGCAATTGCATATATTAAATAGTAAAAACAAAATCTGAGCTGATTTTTAAAATACCATTTGACCTAGAGAAAACACAGCTCAATTTTGCTTATTTAAAAATTTACAGAAGACTACAAAAGATATACCATTTTTTCAAATCTGGGTAAAAAGACAGATAATTATCTATAATTTTAGGCCAGCGAGCTACAGATTACAGAGCGTGTAAATTTGGGTCTAATGATTTTTATCACCATCTTTTTTTTGGAGCATTTTACCTGCTTGACCTTGAACATGTTGAGGTGCCCTTTTCTCTGCTCCTCCACACTAATTCTTTCATTTAGCAGCAATATACTATGGATATGGTAAAAAGCTGTCATAAACAAAATATGAAAAATTGATAACAGGTGTGGCTCTCCATAGAAAGAATATACAAAAAAGGAGAAAAAATATACAAACAGGGTAAACTTATGACTATCATGACTACGGCAAGAAGGTAACATTTTACGCAATGAAAAAAATTCTCTGTGTCATCTAGTTAAGTGATTTGCATAAAAAAACATAAAATTATATGTATAGATCAAGTTTATAGACGACAAAATGATATGAAACATACATAATGGTACCGTAGTCCGAGCACATGGAATTTGAAGATTTACAAAAATTAGGAAAATGCAAAGAATAGCATTTACAGCATTTATCATATTAAGACACACATATATATAG